AAGAGTGTTTTCTTCAATAAAAATGATTTAATCTTACGGTCAAAAAATTTATTGTAAAAAGAATTTGATTCTAATATTTGTAAATAATTTGACTAGGTTTACGATTCTTTGTTGTACGTGCATCGTGACTTATAGTTTCCTCAGACTTTCGCCACACGTCAGATTTGAAGGCATTGATAAGGATATAATATAGAATCGAAAATAATTTTGAGTAATTTAAACAAAAGTTTGAATTTTTAAATAATTTTTACTGGTGCGCTGCAAATATATCAAGTCATTTATGACATTATATGCTTTATAGAATAAATATTATCGCACAATTTAGATCAAATTGAGAGTTTTGCTTTTTTTAGAATAAGATAAGAAGAGAAAACAAAGAGAGATTTAGTTAGCATAAAGATTTTTATAAAACGTGCTCGGTTTCCCTTATTTAATTTTTCTTTTTTCTCACGAAAAAGAGAGAGAGAGAGGAATCTCTCGGAGAAATGTGTCAGAACTTTGTTGACATTAAAACAGGTTAACGTTATTTCAAAGCGGAATATAGAAGTTTCCACCGACTTTATCGATTCCGCCGTGTCTCGTGATAAAAGCATCAATTTTTAAGAAGGTATACTCAGGAGAAGCGTAAGTTTTCTTCGTATCAGCGTTATAGAGCGAATATTACCTTCCTATGTTCTGAGATACAAGGCAATGTCATCGCAACTTTCCCGTCTGCAAATAGAGTTTTTATGAATCCCGCGAGAACAGAAAAATCTCACATGTCATGTAAAGCGCGTGAAATATTGACCATTACTAAATGGACCGAAAAGAGAGCAACGTTCGGATATGATATGTTTGTATAACTACGTAAAATTTACTTTTTTCGGAATAATTAGAAGAGTTATCGAGCAGACGCAAACTAGAGAAGCTTTTAATTACGAGAATAACGATATCTCACACGCACGTCATGCTTGAGAAGTTATCTGTAATTTGTAATGCCGGATATGCGCGATATAATTTCTGCCTCTTCATCTGAAGTATATACATACACGTACATAAATATATATTCGCGAATTAACAGGACGATTTTATATTGAATTTGTTTTGCCGACGTGTACGTTCAATAAACTCATTTATCGGTTTAACTCAGGAATAATGCTTGCTCGTTTGAAAAATTACTTTGTTAACGACACGTTTCCTCTTCCCTCATCAATCGACCTCCGAAGCACTTCATTCGATGGGCTACCTTCGTTACGGTTCACTTAGCTCGTGGTAAATAGCACCTGTGTGTGCTTAACCCGTTACCCAATTAAACCGCAGACCATTGCCCCATTTAACTATTACTGCGTTATAATAGCGAATTAGATAATCTGCAAAATTAATATTGCAGTTGCAATACGGTAAACGTCTC